CGCTCAGGAAATTTCGCAGTACACCGTATGGGAACGCCAAATCGTTGCGCTTCTTCTTCCGATGACAGTTGTTTTTACATGACTGTAAGGCGAGTTCAAGTGTTCTGTCATTGGTGCGTTGCAATTGCCCGACGGGATGTTGCCTGCAAAGGCCCTCTGCTGCGTTGGCCAAAGGGGTGGTGTGTGAAATGGCCCTTTGGGAGCCGCGACTACTTTGGCACGCCTGTGGGTGCGTGTGTGCGCACGTATTTCTGCGAGTGGAAGTCGGTCAAGTGGTCTTCAGGTCACCAAGTGGAACAGGCGCTTGCGAAGGCACATGACGTTGGGGCAGGCTTCGAAAAACAAAGGAGGGAGAGACCTTTTGGCTGTTCTCCACAGGTCCTCCGAAGAAAGCTGTCAGACTTATCCTTAGCATTTCGTCCGACCGGGGAACTTGTACTTGTTGCGGCTGCGATCATGACTGATCTAGCCGGCCTCGATTATGTCCCGTTCGGTGTTTCTCCACGCGTGACGATCACTTGCAGCAGACCTGGACAGTTTGAGCTATTCTCTTCGCTAGCGCCGGAGACCGAATATCGAAGGCCCAAGAACCACTTTCATGTGCTGACGAACTGAGTCGAGCCAGGTTTTGGGCTGACCCGCACTTCTTCGTTTCCAATTAGGTATCGGTTTCAGGTCGATAGTAGTAACATTTGCTCGTGAGGTTGACAGCAGAGACCGTGTCCAAACCGCTTCAGTCGTCTTTCTGGAATCGCCTGGGATATCCTTGCGATGTTGTCGTAGCGAGTGCGGGCTGTCTCATTTGAGACGAAGTCTGTGTACTTCACTCGAAGAACGGTCCTCAAGAAGCAGTGGTCAAAGACTTCCTGTTTTCTTTAATCTTCCACGCGCATAACCAAGCATTCGCATTCACACAGAAGAACAGGCCATACAGATGCGCGGTTAGTGCGTACCTTTAGGGACATAGAAGTATCACGTCGGATCCATAAGCAATTTTGAAGGCTGGAGAAAATTCGTCGAGCTGTGTAATTCGGGGACAATGTCATTCTTACTTTGTCCATTCGGCAGCAACCTCGTTCCAAGGTATTTGAAATTCTCTACTTCTTCAAGTTGACAGCCACTTACCTCGAGAGGTGCTTTCGCTTGGGCTAGGATGCAGCATGAAATCACTTTCATCTTCCCAGCATTTATGGACAAACCGACCGATTTCGCGACCTCGTTTACCCATGACATCATAGACTGTAAATCGCCAAAGCTAGTAAGGCGATATTATCGGCATAGTCGACATCAGAAAACAGGCGTCCGGGTGCAAGCTGAATAACGTGATCTTCCTGTAGGGCCTTCCGGGGAACCCAGTTAATGGCCAGGGTTCCTTAGCATCTTTCCGTGTGCCATTCTTTACCGCTGCAAATATGTGAGCATAACGATCCATTGACTTTCCAAAACAAGCAAGGAAGCAAACTCCGGATGGATGGCAGGCGCACAAGACTGCCATCCTGAGTGGGGCGGTTATCACATTCGAGGGCTTGCGCATGGCTACAAGACAAAAAATCACGTCGGTGAATAGTTAATCATGTTCGCTGCTGCGGGTTACACATCATTTGCCTTTGTGGCCAATATAAATACAAGAGCAATTGACCCATGGGGTGTAGTAAATTAGATTTGCTTGTTGCTCTTTACATATTAAATCATTAACAGTTGTAGGGACAATGTTGCGCGCAGGCATAACGTCAGTTTATGTGTGATGCAAATGAAAAAGTAGTTTACCTATCGAATGATTGCATCAGAAATGCCTAGAATGCACATTAAGGAGAATAATTTTATCGGGAATAGTTCACCAATCAGATGGAAGGGTTCATATTATCTTTGGCGTCTGCGATCTCTTTCCAAAGGCTAATTGTGCATTCTGGCTACCAAATTGAAAGTGCTAGGTAAGTTGAGCTTTTCCTGAGAACATCGTAACTTCTGCCTTGCTGAAAGGACGAAGTCCGAACACAACTCATTTTTTGGCTTGTAAGAAGGACAGCTTCGTGGGTAATAATGCTCTAGGCAGCTGCTAAGCTAAACCCAGCCATAAACAGCGTCACTGATACCCAAACCCAACATGTAAATCACGACTTAATCTCCCATTTAATGCATCGCCCCCCTTCCTCCAAGGACGTCTGTCTGACAAATTAGAAGACTTTTATCTGAGCTGTGCTTGTGGGCGACTAGCTGGGTACTCCTATCGATGATCCCACGATGTCTGTTTTTGTGGCAAAGTGAAGGCTACATCCACCCACCGGTCTTTTGCTACTCGAGAACAT